GTGGACCCGGCCGCCGGCGACCTGGACAACCCGCCCAAGAAGTTTCGAGGTGAGACTGGGACGGGGCTGGGGCAGCTCCATCACTGCCATGAGCAGCCTCGGGGACGATGCTGGCCCCGAGCATCCATGCCAGGGACAGGGACCGGGATCCCAGACATTCCAGCTCGCCCGGAGCTGGGACTTGCTGCTTGTCCTTTGCAGAGGAGCCTGGAGGGATCTCAGACAGCCTCCCTAGACTTGTTTCTGTGGCTTGGCCAAACCACCTACCCTCCTCTGTTTGCCTCTGGGGGCATTTATGCATTTATTGTAACCACCTCCACGGTGGGATGGTCCTTGGGACCCCTTAGCTCAGCCCTAAGGAGCGGGGGTGGCCAGGAACCACCCTTGCCAAAGGTGGGTCCGACCATCCCCAGATGCATCCCCAGGGATGCCGGCAGCCGGGTGTTTACCCACCAGGAGACAGGGACGGGAGGGGACAGCCGTAGGGGCAGTTGCGACAGGCAAACTATTTCAAGGCGAGTCTGTTAGCGCTCCGCACTAATTACATCTGCCGTGCTTGGCTGCGCCTCAGAGAGAGCCGGGGGATTAAATCGCCCACTTAGGAGGCGGGCAGGGCTTGGGAAGGGATGGTAAATCCCGATCTGTCCTCGGCTGTCACGTTTTGGGCTGCGTCGTCTCCTCCGGCGCTCCGGGCTGCGCTCGTCGTTTCCCATTTGGGCGAGGGGCAGCCCCGGGCGGGAACGGGCGGCCGTGGCCACGTCCAGGCGGAAAAGGGGATGAGTCATTGGAAGCCGGGGCGGCTCCAGGCCTGTGGAAACGCTCTGGAGAAGCCAGGACTGGCCGCCTGGAAAAGCAGATCGTGCCTCCCGCTTCCCCTGTTTGCAAGCCCTGGGGCCGGCCGGCGAGGTGGCCTCGGACCTTCGGGCTCCCCCCGGGGGAAGCGAAGGGCTGCGCTGAGCCCGGGGCATCACGTCTCTGCTCTCGCCGCACCCGGGAGATGCGGTTCGTGTGCCTGCCTGGCCCGTGTGCGCGGCAAAACGCAGCGGAAGGGCCGTGTCCCAAAGAACATCCCAGTTGGGTTTGGGTGGCCAGTGCTCAGGGCACAGAGGGTGTACGTAGAGCTGCGCTGAGAAAATAGCCCCACACCGGTGATGACATTGTTGGATTCGGGGTTTCTTTAAGGCAGCCGTTCTTTTCATCCCAGCTACTGTAATTTCAAGTCCCCTTTAAAAAAAAAAAAAGGCTTGAAATATTGGTTGCCCACTCTGCTCAGTGCCTCCACCTCTTGCTCGGGGTGGCTTCGGCATCCCGCAGTGGGGTGCCGTGCAGGCACCCTTCCCCACGGGGGTCCTACCCGAGCAGCGACCTGCCTCTCTCCGTGGCAGCTGCTGCCACTAATTTGTACACGGGGCTGATTAACGATCCATCCCACAGCTCCCCGGAGTCCCACAGCCCGGGGAGCCGTCCCGGCCATCGCCAGACTGTCACCCGGGGCTGGATGGGAAGAGCCAGGAGCAGCCGTGGGGTGACCGGTGCAATCCTCACGGCAGCGGCCGCACCGTCTCCCTGCCCGGACACGGGCGGGTGTTGAATCTCTTTTCCAGGCGCAGGTCTGGTCTAGACTCAGCCCTGCTCCATGCAAACCCTATCAGGATATCCAGGCGCTTGTTTTAATGGCCGGAAAAGTAGCGGTCTGCCTTCTCGATAGCTATCACCGCGAGGGAGGTAAAAACAACGGGCTGCTGCCGTTTCCTTGCCGCAGCACCGAGAGGCTTAAGAGGATTTTCATGTGCTGTTGCCGTCCCTGTATCCTGTGGCCGGACCCTGCCCTATCCTGCGCTGCGGTGAGGCGCACGTGGGTCGCTCCGGGACTCGGCTTGGCTTCCCAGTGGGAAAACAGGACCCTTCTCCCAGAGTCAGGTCCTAATGGTTTTTTGGAAATGCCAAAACCCACCCGGGAGCCTGTCCCTGCGGCAAGGGATGCCCGGCGTGGCCACACCGGGGCTCGGCCCTCCGGGACGGCTGGCACCTCTCAGTTATTTGCTTTTCTTTGCGGTTTCTTCCCCCCTCGCCCCCCCCAAGGCTCTTCCCAGCGCTGCATTCAGGCACATCAGGAAAAAAAAGCAAATAAAGCGCTTCAATCCTGCGCTGCGCAGGCGCTGCGATGGCTGCAAGGCGAGCGGGCAGCGAGACCCCCGGCCGTGCCGCTGCCCAAAATGCCCCGCTCCCCCCGCTGCGGGTTCGCCGGAGGGTTTTGCCTCGTTGGCCGCGTGGGTCGTGGCTGCTCGGCCGGGCATCGCTCTGCTGGCTGGCTCCCGCCGGGGCGGGGTGGTCTGGGA